GTCCCATTTGGGAAGGGCAGGACAGGACGGCTGCCTGTGGGGACCCCACCACATGTTGACTCATGAGCTGGCTGCCTTCATAAACCCTACTGAGAACCTGAGTTTAGTTCATAGCAAATGCCCTTGGGGGATGGAAAAATTTAAAAAAAAAAAAAAAAAAAAAAAGAGAGAGAGAGAGAGAGACTGACCCATTTGAGTTCCATCTGTTGGGGTTTATAATGTTCTCCTTATAATTGCCAACAGACAATGTGAATTGCAATTAGCTAATTGCTTGCTAACTTTCCATTCTAATAATAGTCATGTTCCAGTGTTATACAAGCTTGGAGGCTGCTGCTGTTCCCTTGCAACTGGCAATAATAAATAATATCGTATTCCCTCAGCTTTGCCATTTCTTCCAAGTTTCATCCCCATGCAAATTGCTCCAGCATGTCCTAATCCCTGATGGGATGGCAGAGTCATCAACAGCATTTATTTGCAGTTCCCTGCACTGGGAGGGTTCAACACTTGCACAAGGACATGGCACCAGGAAGCTGTGACTCCCGTGTGCCATTTGTCCCCACTGCAGAGCCAGCACAGCAGGGCCAGGAGGTGCCTCTCATCATGGCAGGGCAGCAGGACCAGGATCTGCACCCTTGGAAATCCAGTCCTCCCCACCAGCATGTGCTTGGTTACAGCTCTTTGGAGGTTTTGGGCTTTGTTTGGCTTTTCACTTTCCCTCTGCAGGATCAGATGTGGCCCTGGCCCCTGTTGTGACATGTTTTATTACCAGTAGCTTCAATAATGTCAGCACAGACCCATACTGGAGCTGCACTCTCCAGCAGCAGAACAAGCTGTACAGTGTCACTGCTGCAGTGATAAGAGGGGACTGGATCCTGGCAGGGCTCCTGGAGGGCACAGAGGTCCAGCTGGGTGCTGAGCCCATGGAGATCTCCCTTCCACATGGGTGAACTTTACTGCACCCCCACTCCAGGCTGTCTGACCTCCAGATCATTACTGGCGTGCAGATGCAGCTAATTGAGAGGCAGAGCAGCAGCCTGATCCAGTGAAGTCAAGGCCAATGAAATGAGCAACATCATTCCCTGGCGCACGAGGAACTACTGAACACAGAGCTGCCAGCAGGCTGACATCTCCAGAGCTTACAGACTAATCTCATTAAACTCAACCAAAAAGCCTTTCAGAGCTGGGAGAGCCGTGTCCAGCGAAAGCTGGGCTGGATTATTCACCTCAGGGGTTTTTTCACACGCCTGGTTCCCTGTCACCCTGCACCACAGGCAGGGGAGTGTGGGACCCCAGCTGCAATGCAGCACAGGATGGGGGGCATCTGCCCCAACCCTGCTGCTCCAGGAGCTCTCCCTTGCCTTGCTCAGCAACTAGAGACTTCTGTCCTCTCTTCACAGCTCAGGTACACAGGCCAGGAGGAGGTTGCTCTTGCTCAAACCAAGTAGCAGGACATGAGGAGCTGGAAGAATCCAGCCAAAGGAACAGCTTTGCTCACTTCTGCTTTGGTTTCCTCTGTGAATGTTTTCTCTCAGCACTGGTTGATGGGTTTCAGACTGAGGGAATGTTGGGAAATAAACGGGAGAATTCTGTGGCACACTGTACGAGGTGCCAAGGACCGGTGGTGATGCACAGCAGCTGGCAGAGCCCTGGTGTGCACCTCACCTGGGCTGCCCCCACAGGACCTGCTGCCCTCACCCCATTGCTCCCAGCACTCCCACGGCCACTGGCTGCAGCTTCTCTGTTCACATCAGCACCTGCTGCTCCACACCCACAGCAGTGGCACCGGCTGGGCCATGCCAATGGGACAGGTGGAGGGTTTGTGGCAGAAGCCAGTCAGGGTAGGGGATGGGGAAGCAGAAAAGCTGCCAGGGCCTGGCAACTGCCAGCACAGTTTGTCCCAGGGCTACTGGCACACTGCAGAGAATGGTCATGGCACGGGGAGGGTGAGGTGCCACTGGACCACGCTGAGTCCAGGGGAATATCTCTTCTGCTACCCTTATGCAAGTCATTGCCAGGTGCTCTTGGACATAAGGCTGTGTGGTTTGACCAGCTTGAATTCATCTCCTGACCTCAGGAAAGCAGAGCACAAGTCTCGTTGGGCTCAGTGTGGGGCTGAGGCTGGTCCCCAGTCGACAAGTGGCCATGGACTACACACAAAAATGCTCTAAAGCTGACAGCACCAAATGTTCCTTCTCCACCTAAAACAGTTGTTTGGGATTCAGTTAGGAACAAAACTGTATCTTGTAGGTTTTAATAAAGCTCTTGGCAAACAGTTCAAACACTGCGGGGGGAAGCAGGAGAGAGAGGTTGAATTTATGGGAGCAGGAGGAGATCATTTGCTTTCTTAGGAATTGGAAAAGATTAATAGTGTGCAAAGGCTCTTGGATTCATTCCTCACATAGCAGAATGATTAGGAGACTTACTGGCTTGATGTTCTTCATTCTGCCTTCCCCAGGTGGCTCAGAGACTGTCTAGGCTGCAGAGAAAACGACCAGGGAGAACAGAGAGCCATCCCACATCAGCCCCAGTGAGGAGGCAGCTGTGGCACACTGGGGGATGGAGGACCACTGAATCTAACAGATGGCTTTGCTGCAGCCCTAGAGGGTCTGCAGGAGGTGAAAGGTTTAAGGGCCAAACCACAGTGGCAAAGAGCTGGTCAGGTAACAGCTCATGCCCGAACTTGCTGTGCCCTATGCTGAGCATGTCCCACCTCGCAAAGCACATCACTGCTTCCTTGCCACGTGTCCCCACCCACCACACATCCATTGGATCAGCAGGTTTTGTCCCCCTTGGCTAATCAACAGCTCAATAGGGCAAACGCTGTGACAAAGTCAGGAGCACTAGAGAAACACTCATGAGACCTGGGTGAGGGGAACAGCGTGGCACACACAGTTAACGGGTTGGGAGAATGTTTGCTTCGTTTCGAGGCAGATAAACACCCAGGCAGCCCCCTTGGGCCCTGCAAAGTCACAAAGGAGTTCTGCTTCAGGCCAAGATGAAAGTCTCAAAGAATAAGCACAAAAACCACAGGGGCTTGTGAAACCCATGCTTGGTTTATTAAATGAATCACAAAGCTTTTTATCACATATTTCTGCCTCCAGAGTCACTTTACACTTCAGTTCACGTGCCAAATTCTTTGTCTTTTCCCTAACTGTGGACCCTTGTAATACACTCAGTGTTGGAATCTGTTTGAAATCCATGAGTTTACGCTGAAGCAGAGCTTTGGTGTTTCTTGTGGAAGTCTGGAATTACTCACAGCAGGTCCCTTTTCTGAGCAGAACTGTGCACAGGCCCCGCTGCAGCAGAAGTCAACACTCACCCTGTGGGAGGAAACAAACCAATAAGACATAAGTCAGGTGCTCCCTATAAATGTTTGTGGGCATTCGAATTTAGTAACTGAATATAGTTTGTGCTTTCCCTGTAAGTGAAGAATAACTATTTTCCAATGGAGTTAGCAGGAGGTAAAGCTGAAAATCAAAGTGTGAGCTTTGTGTTTCCTGACAATTTTCCTTTAACAAGGTAGTTCCAGCTGCTAACTGCATTTTATTGCATTCCTCAAAGACAGACCTCCATGCAAGAACACTTTGAGAGCTCTGCTCCAAAAATAAAGGTACTTGGAGCTATTTTTATGAATAGGTATATTTTACCAGTTGATCTCAGAGCCCTTGGGGCCACCCTTACCCACGGCCTCACTTAGGTATGGCACAGGCTGGAGCCCCTGCCTCTGTGTTCCATTCCCGGGCAACTGGAACAGCAGGTGCTGTTCTCACTCACCTCCCTCCCATCCAGGACGCAGGAAGGTGCTGAGATCTGGCACCCAATGACATCTCTGTGCCACAAGTGTCTCACTCAGCTGTGCAGGATTCCAGGCATGGGAGGAGGAAAAGTGGCCTTTCCACCTGCCTGCTGTCAAGTGCAATGCTGAAAGACTGAATGCTCACCCTGACTGTCTTCTTGGGAGAACCCTCGAACCCCCAGAGACTCCCAGATGAAGACTGACTGAAGGAAGTCCCACACACATGAAAAACACCCTTGTTAGCAATGGGGACCCTGGCAGCCATCCTTACTGAACATCCGGATCTGGAACGGAACAAGCCCACAGCTGATCCCAATTAGAGCACTCTGATGAGGAGGTTCACTTGCACCCTTCAGAACACTGCAGACAAATGCAACTGATGACATGGCCCATCAGCCAGGAACAGCACAGAGCAATTAATCACACCAAAACTTCAATGAGCACCTCTTTCACCCCATTTCAGTCAGTCAGAGTTAGGCCATAGCCACTTTCAGTGCAGAAAGCTCCTTCAGCACTTTTAGCAGGGCTGTTGTTAGCCCGAAGACAGACATCAGGGGCCAAACATCTGGGGGAAGCAGAAGGGCCACCACTGAACTGTGCTGAACACCTTCCAGAATTTAAATCCATTTGTTCTTTGTGCAGATGTCCTGGACAGAGGCTGACAGAAAAGGAGTGTTGAAGGGTTGTGAAGCATGTGCGCGTGTAAAGAAAATTCTGCATCCATACACACCGTGATCTACTGGTTTGTGATGATGATACATCAAGGCCTGAGAAAGCATAACACCCCCAACTCACCCTGCAGCCACCAGCCTGTGTAAGGAGCACAAGGCTCTACAGCCAAGCGAGCCCCCAGCAGGACCTCCAGCCCCCGCCCTGGCAGGAGCAGAACCCACCTCGCATCCACCCTGGCTAAATGTCAGCTCCCTCGGCCAGGACACTCAGCTCCAGGAGGGGGACGGTGCTTTTATTTGCAATTAGAACTGCACGTGAAGCCCCATCCTATGAAGTCCCTGTCCCTGACAGGGACACTGGCAGCCCCGGCCCTGCAGCCAGCAGCCTCCCTTCCCACATCGCTCCTCTCGCACCCCGATCTGCTCCCTGCACGCCCCTCTCCGCAGGTCGCACAGTGCCCTCAGGTGGCTGCAGGGACTGCCCAGGTTGGAGACAGAAACGGGAGCACAAGCACACCCACAATTCTTTATTGTCCAATACAATTCTTTATTGGCTTTCCCAGAGAAACTCCCGTTTCTTACCAAATACGTTATTTAGAGAGAAACATCCCACCACTCCCCGGGATCAGTGCCATGGTCAACAGAAGATGTCTCTCAACTGTCAGCAGCTGCTGCCACCAGACAGTGAAGTTTCAAGTGGGCCCTGGCAGAGGATCAGAGCAGCATACTCTGGCACCCTTGAAAACTGCCCGTGTCAGGACTCAGGCATCCATGCACCTCCATAATTACATTTTCAAGCCAGATTTGCTCCCTCCTCCTCCTTGTGTTTGGAATGAACACAAACATGCTGCTCAGAGGCACATGGTGCCCAGTGTTTGTAAGCCCTGATCCGAGATATTTTCTTTATTTCTAAGGACAGAACTCAAACATCTTTCTTACACAGCATCAGCCTAAGGGAATCTCTGTTACACTCATGCATCTGCAGCACCTCATGTCAGTAAGTCTCAGCATTTTTTCCATGATACAAAAAACATCTGCTGCAGGAGAACGAAAGGAAAGTTCCACAGCTGGAAGTGACTCCCTTCTATCCTCATGGTTTGTTCAGCTCAGCCTCTTCTTCAGACACCAAGTCCATTTCCACTTGAAAACAGGACAGTCCAAGCATTTCCTGCTGAGGCCAAGAATCAACTCAGCTTCCGGAAAGCATCTGCAGAGCTCCTTCAGTTCCTCATCCCCTTTGCAGCATTCCAGAACACACCAAGGTGGCAGAAGATGGTCAGTGCAAGTCCCTGCTGCTCTGTCAGGAGATAGGTGAGCAGATCAGCTCTTGATGGTTCTCCACAAACAGCGAGATCTTCAGGAGAGTATCTGAGTCAGAGAGAAAACAATAACCTTGTTGTCTTAAGGCATTTTACCTATATTCTGTACCCTCCTAAACTTACGCTGTTTCTAAAGGCAACAAAGAAAAGTGTAAGTAAAACTGACTGAGAAGTGAAATGGATGACTAAGCCCTTGTTACATTGAGAGGATGTTGCTTCCAGCTGTGCCCAGCTGTGATGGTGAGCACTTTCAACTAAAGCTGACCGAGATCTCAGACCAGGTCACAAAGATCAACTGCGTAGAATCACCTGCTGCTACTGAGCCCAGCACAGCCACCACGGCCAGGCCTGTGTGCTGTCACCAGGGCAGGGACAACAGCACCAAGCCCCAGGAAAAGACCCTCGGGTGTGTGCACATGGAACTACCTTGAACAACGTCTTCCTTGTGGTGCTCCAAAATCCTCTCCCAGGACTGTGGGAGGGCTTCCATGTCTGTCAGGCTGTCACAGCTGAGGCGCTGCAGGAGCAGCTTGCTCTCCAGGTACCTTCGTGCCCGGTAAGGTCAACAACGAGAGAACATCCCCCCCAGCGCTGCCAAGAGCCCCCCAAGAAGGATACAGGTGCCGGTAGTAGCGCTCCACGTCCTGCAGCCCCTCCAGCACGTCGGCCAGCGAGGGGCAGCGCGGTCCGCGCCGCAGAGTCCCCTCCAGCCCCAGCTCGGCCGCCCGCTCCTCGTACACCCGCAGCACGGCGGCCGCAGCGGCGCCCGCGGCGTCCCGCACCTCCCGGAGCTCCATCCTGCGGGCACCGCGCGGTCAGCCGGGCCCGCGCCCCACGCCCGCCCGCCCCGGCCCCGCCATCCCCTCCCCTCACCGCCGCCCGCCGAGCTGCTCCAGCAGCGCCTCGGCCGCGCCGCGCTGCTTCCGCCACAGCCGCGCCCGCAGCTCCGGGAAGGCACCGAGCGGCGCCGCTCCCCACGGCAGCCGCCGCGCCGCCCGCATCTGCGCCGCCAGCGCGGCCAGCGCGCCCAGCAGCGAGGCCCAGGCGGACAGGGCCACCCGTCCCGCCGCGCCCGCCCGCGCCGCCGCCGCTGCCCAGTCCCGGAGCGCGGCCGCCACCGCCGCCATCGCCACCGGCGCCGCCATCGCCCCCCACCAGCACTCGCAGCACGTCATCGCCCCGCGCCGCCATCGCCCCCCGGATTCCTCAGTGCGTCATCACCCCCCGGATTCCTCAGTGCGTCATCAACCCTCGCCGCCACGCCATTGGCCGCTCGGGGGCGGCGGTTGGTTCGAACGCTCGCGCCAGACACCGAGACAGGCAGCGGCACCGAGCGGGGATCGGCCCGGGAACCCAACACCGAGACACCGAGCGAGGATCGGTCCGGGACCCCCCGAACACCGAGCGGGGATCGGTCCGGGACCCCCCGAACACCGAGCGGGGCCTCACCGAGACACCGAGACCGGCACCGACGTCGAGCGAGCGACCGACCCCCGGCACCGAGCGCGGCACCAACCGCAGCCCCCGGCCCCGCCATGGCTCCCGCGAGGAAGAAGGGCGGCTCGAGCTCGCGCAGCAGGAAGCTCGCGGCATTCCTGAAGGATTTCGACTGCGAGGGTAGGAACGGGAACGGGAACGGGGCCGGGGAACGGTATGGCCGGGGCGGGGAACGGTATGGCCGGGGCTGACGCCGCGTGTCCCTGCAGTGAACCAGCGTCTGGAGCGGCTGCGGGCGGACGGGGAGCGGCTGGTGAAGGAGGTGGAGAAGCTGTACGACATGGAGATCCTGCGGCTGCCGCTGGAGCTGCGCCAGATGAACTGGCTCGAATACTTCGGTAACTGGGCTGGCGCTCCCTCGGATAACAAACCCCTACGGGAATAAGGGAGCAGCTGGGGTCTGCTGTGCCCGGAGATCCCCGGCGGGGTGAAAACTGGTTTGAGCTGGTTTTTGCACCGTCCCGGACTTGACCTGATTGGTCTGAAATATTTTCGTTCCAGGTAAAGAAGGAAGTGGAAAGGCATTGGAGGACGTGGCCATGGTAGGTTTCCGGCAGAAACACACCGTTGCAGGGGCTCCTCGGGCTGTAACAATATTCCAGAGCATTGCAAGAGCAAAAGTTACATGAATCTTTACACAAATTCTACTTTAAGACTTAACAGTAAGAAATGCCCATATATCTGGTGTAGGATTTGCTCGCTCCTGCTGCTCTGTGTTGTCCTTTCCTTACCTGCTGGGTTCCACCCCCAGACCCCTGGAAGCACATGCATTTTGCAGTACATTACAGCATTTCCACACTAGTTGAGCAGCAGGGCATGTGTGAGGCACAGCTGCAGCTACCAAACCAGGCACTGAGTCCTGAGGGTGTCTTGTCATCTCCAGGATAACCTGAAAGGGCTCAGTTTGAGCAGAACAGCAAACGTGGAGCTGTTCTGGCTGTAAAATAATTAGGGGTTTGCTCTACAGGCTACCAGAACTCTGTGTTGCCAACAATCCTAATGGTGTCACAACTGTTTTTAATTTTAGGCAGACTTGGAAATAGTAGAAATAGACAAGCGGACAGCAGAAGTTATCAATTCTCAGTTTGAAATCGTCAAGAAAGGTCAGTTGGAGCGTTGTGAGGCGACTGGTGAGGTGGAAGCATGTCATGGTTCCTTAATCTGAATAATAATTCAGATAATGCTCACATCCCTCAATATATTTAAAACAGAAAAATAATCTTACTTTTACCCCTAGTACCTGCAGTAGGTCTAATTTGTTTTATAAAAGCATTCAAAGTAATTCAAAGTAGTGCTCTGTAAACCATTGGGATTGCACTGGAATTTGGACTTTAGAAACAAATTTTTGCCAGAAGTGTAGTTGTTTGCTGTTTGGCTCTGCTGCCAACTAATAATTTGAAGTTATTATTTACCTAGATAACACTTTCTCTTTCTAGTAGAGAAATCCAAAAGGAGTGTTGAAGCCATCGAGGAGGAAGCAGAGCCTCCATCACTTCCTCTACCAAAGAAATCCAGAGTTGACAGCCAGTGTCCTTCAGAGACAGAGTCTGAGAATGTGAATCCAAGAACTGCAAAGGTAAGTAGCTGTTCTGTGGGATGACTTTGTCCAAGGGATATAAATTTCTGACTGAGCTGATTACTAGGGCTGTGCAGGATGCTCTGAGGGAGACTTCAAACAGTTTCCCTGAGAATTCTAACAATAGGGGAAGGTCACGAAGGCTTGAATGGTGTTTGTTCTGGGCTCCTGTGCCATGAGAAGGAGACCGAGCATTTTGTCTGGAAATATCTGTGTGGGCTCTGCTGTCCCTTGAGAGGGAAGTAACTGACCTGGTGAGTGATGTGTGCTTCAGGTGAAGGCGTCCACCAAAAAGCCGCCCGTGTCCAGAAGACCCCGCTCAGCGAGAGTGAAGCGCATGAGCAAGAGGTAATGGGGATATCTCTCTCTCATCTCCAGAAATGCCGAATGAGACTGTAAATGTATGTCTTCCCTGGGATGGAGTTTGGTTCAGCAGGGGGTCAGGGAGTTGTGCCATGTTACACTAAAAAATTGATGATCTGAGAGGGAATGAAAGGAGGACAACTGCCTCTCCTGTGAGGACCAGCTGTCCCCAGCTTTGCGGGTCACTGATTAGTGAGAACCCCTAGGTTTTGTGGGGATCACCTCGTTTAAGCCTTTGATAAGTGCTTCTACAATTTGTTAAAGGTCATGTTATGAGTAGATGTTTATTTCCTTTTAACAGATCAAGCAAAACCAGCTTTATCACTCCAGCTACTGGGAGAATGGGTGATTTCTGTGCTCGGGGAGGTACTTCCATGATCACACCCAGATTTGATTCTAGGTTTGTATTCTGTTAGGTTTTCTCTGTTGATCTGTTAACAGAGAAAATAAATCTCTTCTATCTCTGTTATAATCTGTTATATGCCGTTTGCTTTGTGTCACTTGTTTGCCACACAATCTTTAGCGTCTCTTTGAACATGAAATGAAAGACTTTGACTAGAAGTGCTTTGAGCAAATACTGCTCACTAATAACTTCTTGTTTCAGGGTGTTCAAGACGCCGGGTTTGCGCACTCCTGCTCTCAACGAGCGCGTTTACACCATCTCTGCCAACGGCAGCCCCCTCGCCGACACTGGGGACGCCTTCCTGACCCTGCCCCTGGGTGGAGGGGAGGTAATTCCTGAGATTTCACCTGCAGGGGCTGGAGGGATGTATAGGCGAGGCTGAAGCTTTGAACCTTTTGGTGCCTCACCAGCTTCAGTTCATCCACTTATGTCTCTTTAGCTGTGCCACTGCAGTTTATCAGGGGATTGATCAAGCTTAAAAAGAACCTTAAGAGACTCTTAGTCAGAAGAGGGAGCTGCTTACACTGGTCCAAACGGAATAGAAGGATGTTCTGCTGTGCATTCAAGTAACACTTAAAGTAGCAGTAGTGGCAGGAATGCATTAAATGCACTGCAAGGAAGGTGTGAGTTGAGCTTTTGGTCAACCTGAATGTAGTTCTCCGCCTGTCTGTGGTCTCTTATTATGCTTAGATCTTAATTACTTTTTTTTTTTTTTCTGCCTCATACTGCTGCAGCTGACCAAAAGAAAGCCTAAGATTTGGGTTTGTTTCCACAGAGCATACGTCTGACAGCAAAGGATTTGACCAAGAAGAATTTTCTTCAGCTGAACCCCAAGGCCCGAGGGCTCATGAAGAAGTTGTCGGTAAGTCTGGGTGTTTTTGGCAGCCATGACCTGAAGCTGTAAGGCAGTGCTGTCACTCTGTCATTGGTCAGGGTACTGCTGAGCTGCAATAGAAACCTGATTCCCTGCCCAGCCTTGTGTTGTATTTTGGCTTATGTCAGAGGTGAAGAAGCTGCACGGAGCTTGGAAGGAGAGGGAGGGGCTTTACATCACATCTGGCTGAATACACACGGGAAAGGAACTGATGTCAGTGCTCTGAAAAACAGAGTTCTCCGTTAGGCCAGAGCTGTGGGTGGCTGTGGGCTGTACCACTGTCTGAGCACTGACTGATTTCTCTTTCTCTCCAGGTTTGTCTCGCACAGGCTTGCAGTGAGGCAAAGAAACCCGTAGATGGAAGTCAGTGAGCAATGACATCCCTCTGCAAATACATTTTACGTTTAGGACTGCTACCTTCATTTAGTCCTTCTAATTTGTGTTCCTTCCATTAATTTACAGAATGGAAGCTAAGAGCTAGTTTTTCTATCTATAATATCTATAATATGGACTGGATGTAGTGGAATCAAAATAAATAGCGCTTTTTTTTTAATTTTGGAAGAAAAACCAGTCTTTGTTTCCTTTAAGGCTGAGACCATGACACAGTTCTCTTGGGTTTGCAGACCAGCAAGTGGGCAGAAAGGCTGTTGATTGGCAAGTTAAGAGCATTCAGAGCAAAGAACTTTGCTTCTCTAATGCTGCTTAAGATTTTTTTTTTCTAAAAATAAGCCCTGCTCATGGTGCACAGTTCAGGGCTGCACTGAGCAGGGCAGCACAGAGGCTTCATACACAATTTGAATTTAGCTCCTTTCCTGGGGGTAGTAACTGGGAATGGCAGTAAGGTCTCAGCTGCTGTTGTGACCTCCTCCCTGAGTGGGGCTGGGACCCGACTGCAGCCCCCAACTGAACACTGCCCTGGGGGAAAGCTCTGCCTCTGGTGCTGTTGGATATTCCTGTGTATTTAACTATTTTCTGAAATAAAAAAATATTGTGAATTTTCTTCCCATTTATCCCCAGAATGGTCTGAGAGCCCTGAGGCAGGATGGAGAGGTCAGTGAGCAGTGGCAGCCTGCAGTTCAGGGTCTCTCCCCATCCACCATGCGGCAGAGTCGGGGCTGCGGGGGGAAGGGGGCAGGAGCAGGGCTCTGCTTCGGCTGGAAAGCTTATCTCCCACAGAGGGTGACCTTGTGCTCCAGGAGCCTGAGGAGCTGGATCCTGATGGCACTTGATTGATGGGATCTGAGGAGTCGTTCTCCCTCAATGTCAGTCGGCTGCTTCTGCTGACTGCAAATGAAGGCACAAGAAATTGGACAGTAATCAATGGCAGATGGAAGGTGCAATTGGAAATGCCCCTGTCTGGAGCACGTGGCCAGCGGGAGCCTCGACCAGGACAGTGCTGAGGGCATGGCTCGAGCCCACTTAGATGCTCCTG